ATACACGGTCACACTTTGCTCATTGGATCTATAGAATTTGCTGTCTGCAATGCTCAAATACCTGGATTTGGCCCTTTTCTACAGGAAGTCAAGCCCTCTCAATTTCCTAACAGCATATTTCTCAGAGACATTTGGGAGCATGTCTTTGGTTGTTCTTTGAATCCAAGTGAAATAAGAAAGAGGTGTAATGGCATTGGTGGAGTTTCACTTTTGTGGGCACCCACTGACAGACGAGCCACGAGCACTTTTTTATATGTTCTACCTTTCATGTATTTATGTAACACATATTCTACATTAAACATACGTTTAGAATGAACAATAACTGCTGTATAAAGAGTAAAAAAAAAACATAACTAATGCAGAAAAGCCGCCTCTTTTTCCGAATTGCATAGGTGACCACTATCTTTCTTTCATCTCTTCTGATAAATTTTCAGTCAAATTGTTCTCTCTGTGCTAGATCAAAGCCAGTTTCTTATTCTCCTCATAACTGAGAAACTTATTTCTGATGTAGCCGAACCAATGGCCAGCGTGAGTGCAAGCTGCAGTAGTCTGAAAAAGTTTGGATATTTGTCCTTCCGTACTTCATCTTTAAGTTTCTAAAGAGGGATCGGCGATGCAATCGCACATTTCACAAGATCCATGTCAGCTATCACAAGCTGAGGGCCGAGGATGGGGCTTAAATATAATAGAAATTAATTTAGCCCAAAACTTACTTATTCTATCCACTAAAATAATAAGATAATACAAATAAAATGAGAAAATATTAATTATTTAATTTTTATATTTTATTCATAGCTCAGACAAAATCATATGATTGGCTCTCGTCTGGGAGGGCAACCTAGCGTTCACCTCAGACTTTCCCGTGCTCCACCGCTCCATTTCTCCACTGATCCAGTGCCTCCACGATCATCCTGCAAGCACTCAAACCCCCTACTCCGCCAGCTAAGCCATTTGGACTTTCACTCTCTGTGTTTTCTCATCTCCCATCTGCTCCTGGTTCTCCCTGCCTCACAGTCAATAAACTCCTCTGTTTGATCACTACCTCTGTGTCCCTAGACTGTGTCGTGACAGAAGATCGGACCCAAGAAGTAAGCGGCGCCTCCTCTCCCCGTTTCATTTCCGTTTTTGAAAGTCTTTTGTTTTTTCCCGTTTGTTTCTCCCGGCGGTATGGAATCCGCCGTACGCTTCGCAGCGGCGTTGTAAAGCCCGCCGGCCGCCGTTGACCCAAGACGTTCACCTCAGACTTTACCATGCTCCATCGCTCCAGTGCCTCCACGATCATCCTGCAAGGACTCAAACCCCCTACTCCGCCAGCTAAGCCATTTGGACTTTCACTCTCTGTGTTTTACTCATCTCTCGTCTGCTCCTGGTTCTCCCTGCCTCACAGTCAATAAACTCCTCTGTTTGATCACTACCTCTGTGTCAGTAGCCTGTGTCGTGACAATATGATGCCTCTTTGCCTAAATGTCAGTGGTTCTCCAAGAATAAGGTTCAGGTAGTCTGGAGAGAAGGAAGACATCTGGTAGAGCTTTTTTAATACACACACCCACACACACACACAAACCTTTTTTTATTATTTGAATTACAGTTCATTAAGTAAATATGATAATAGTTGTGTGCTTGTCTTGGTATTTTGCAGGCGCCTGTGTCCAAATGCAGTGAGAGCTGTTGCCCAGCCACTAGGAAAGCTGTGCAGAAAGGAAAACCTGTCTGCTGTTATGATTGTATACTATGCCCACCAGGAGAGATTAGTAACAGCACAGGTACATAACTATTATGAAACAATAATGAAAATCCCTGTTATACAATGCCTGATTAATATTTTAAATAGAATTAATTTTCTTTTAATCTTCTTCTTTCTAGATTATATTAATGGCCTCAAATGCCCTATTGCACAGTGGTCAAATACAAGAGGAGATGCCAGCATCCCAAAATAAATTGAATTATTGTCATATGATGGAATAATGGGGATACTTTTGGCATTGTTTTCTTTATCTGGGGTCTTTTCATAATAGCAATCATGCTTGTTTTCTACATTGACAGAAACACACCTATAGTTAGAGCCAATAACTCAGAGCTGAGCTTCCTGCTGCTCTTCTCATTGACTCTGTGTTTCCTCTGTTCACTTACTTTCATTGGTCGACCCACTGAGTGGTCCTGTATGTTGCGTCACACAGCATTTGGGATCACTTTAGTCCTCTGCATCTCCTGTGTTCTGGGGAAAACAATAGTGGTGTTAATGGCCTTCAAGGCTACACTTCCAGGAAGTAATGGTATGTGAAATGGTTTGGGTCCTTGCAGCAAAATAGCTGTGTTCTTACTTTTGCACTTATACGGGTGCTTATATGTGCATTTTGGTTAATATTATCTCCACCATTTCCAAATATGAACATGGATCATTATCAGGAAAATATAATTTTAGAATATAATTTAGGTTCAGCTATTGGTTTCTGGACTGTGCTGGGCTATATTTGTCTCCTGGCTGTCCTTTGCTTTGTTTGAGCTTTTCTGGCACATAAACTGCCAGACAACTTCAATGAAGCAAAATTCATCACATTCAGTATGCTCATATTCTGTGCTGTATGGATCACGTTTATCACAGCTTATGTCAGTTCTCCTGGAAAATGTATTGTCACTGTGGAAATATCTGCCATTTTGGTCTCTAGCTTTGGTTTACTGTTCTGTATTTTCTTGCCAAAATGCTATGTAATTTTACTGAGACCTGAAATGAACACTAAAAAGCATGTTACAACAAAGATGTTCAATGATATCCATTAATAGCTATTAAAGTGTACATGAGAAGGACATGAGAAGACAAAAATCCCTAAAAAAGTACATCTGCAACAAACAGATTATTGTATTATTTTAATATGCTGAAAATAAACAAGACTAAAACTCTTGATTTCTTTGTGTGATTGGGTGGTACCTTCTGCAGTTATGCCATGTTGTCCTCTAAATTTGAGCCACTAGTGTCCCACGACTCCCACCTGCTATTTTCAGGCCAAGCACTGCTCTTTCCTTACTTCCAAGCTTTCCTTGCTTAAGACCTAAGCTGTTATGATAAGATTTTCTTGAGTTTAATACATCTCAAAAAGCACTTGTTACCAGGATTTATTGTCATCTTATGGATTCAGAGGACTTTAATACATCTCAAAAGGCACCTATTTCCAGGATTTATTGTCATTTTATGGATTCAGAGGATTACTCTATTGCTAAAACTAGAGCCTGATAATATGAGCTGGTGAAGAGTTTGGGTGAAGGTGTTTTAATGTTCTTAATAGAATTCACACAAGCACAATATGCGCACGGCTTTGCCTCATACAGTTTAAATAAATAAAAAACTGCATAGGGTTCACTATTCCAAAGCTTGACTCGCAGTTCCTTCTTTCTTTCTTTCTTTCTTTCTTTCTTTCTTTCTTTCTTTCCTAATGATTAAAAACTATTGGAATGATATTCTGACAACATGTCCAAAATATTTAAAGTCAAGGTCAATATCTGCCCTACTACTGCAATCTTTGGTTGTTTGGTTTGTTGCTAAATAAATGAACAAATTAATGAATGAATGCTGTGATATGTTTAAACTGAATAAATATGAAAGACATAAAAATGTTTTATTTTACATAGAGCAGATCGCCCCCTAATGGAGGCTGCCATGCTGCACCACCACTACTACTGCTGCAACTAAGTTTACTTAATATATTTAATATATTAATATATACAAATTTTATTTTATATTTTTATTAATGTAAAGTTTATTTTATACAGTATACAGTATTTTATACATGGTGCCCACCCTTGGATGTAGTGCCATTATGCATGTGCCCAACTGCCAAAATAGTTAATATATCTAGTGTGAAGCAGACTCAATTAACAAACAATTCATATTCATATTGTGTGAACATATCACATGATATATGTAAAATATTAATATTCATATACAAATATTATGTTCTATAAGTGAAAAAAGAATGCATTGTGTGGCAATAAACAAAAAAGTCAAGCTGACTGCATTGCATCATGGAATACAGTACATTGTTCTCTGTTGTATTGGCACTGGTGTATATTTCGCAAAAAAAAAAAAAAAAAACTATGTAGATACCCAAAATGGATATTATTGGCTGATGACCATATATGCATTGTTTGTTTATTTGTTTTATTTATTGTCATTTTGACTTATAATAAGGATGTGTTAGGGTTACATTTTATGTGCCTTTAAACCACTTTCACAATTCTTACTAGGTTTAGGCAAGAAAAATAAGCTCCATTTTGTTTAAAACTTAGTTTCAATTTCATGTTTGTTTGATATTCATAATTAGAAAATACAATGTAACCTTTTTACAGATTTAATTTCTATTGCAATTTTATTTAATTAGTGTGTTGTTTTCTCATTGGCTTAAATTATGCAAATACGCAGTTCACCGAGAAACACCCACAACATTGAATTCAGTGAATTGGGATCCAACAGCTGTTATATAAGACGGCACCAGAGGTTTAGGGGCCAGTTGAGAGTTTAGAATGGGGTTCTTACACACATGGCTTCTGTTCACATTAGTGAGAGCAGCTGACCCGCCATGCAAGTTATGGGGGCCTCCTGACATCCCTCAGCTTAGAAGAGACGGTGATGTGACAATTGGGGGCATCTTTTCCTTCCACAATAGCTGGGAGGAAATGATGCCCACATTCACTTCTAAACCAGAGCAGCCAAAATGCAAGAGGTGAGTTCATAAGGAGACCCGAAAAAAAAAATAAAAAAATAAAAAAAATTAATGAATAAAAAACATTTAAAAATAAAGTTGAATGAATGAATGATAGGAACATTAGTTTTAATTGAATAAATAAATAAATTCTATATTTCAGCAAATCTTATATATATTATTATGTTTATGACTAATATACTATACCCGTCTTACCTTTTGCATTTTCATTGTCATTTAATTATTTTTATTATATTTAATTTTATTTTTAGTTTGAGCTTCAGAGAATTTCAAAATGCACAGACAATGGTATTTGCCATTGAAGAAATCAACAACAGAGCTGATATTCTTCCTGGTATCAGTTTGGGTTACAAAATCTATGATTCATGTGGATCAATAGAAATGGCTCTTAGAGCCTCTCTGTCATTAGTTAATGGGGCAAATGGCTCTCAGATGCCCTGTCAAAGAACTAACACAATCCAAGCTATCATTGCAGAAACATCTTCCACTCCAACTATTGCCATTTCTGCCACTGTCGGACCTCTGCATTTACCTGTGGTAAGTTTTGTATGTTTCTTCTAATTTTGTTAAAGTTCTGTGACAAAATGTGTTATGCAATAATGTATAAAAAGTGGTGCATACTGGAAGTTTTTTATTACTAATAAATCACAATTACTTTTTTTTTTTCTTTTGAAAAAAAAAAAAAAAAATGCAATTAAATGTAGAAACACCCCTCCTTCTTCAGGACTATTCCCAGTGATTATTACCAGAGCCAAGCACTGGCCAAATTGGTCAAATATTTTGGCTGGACCTGGGTGGGGGCTCTTTGTAGTGATAATGACTATGGAAACAATGGCATGAACACTTTTATCAAAGCAGCCACAGAATTTGGAGTCTGTGTAGAATTCTCAGAGGCATTCTTCAGGACTGATCCCAGGGAGGAAATTTTGAGAATTGTTGAGATTTTAAAGAAATCTAGTTCTAAAGTGATTGTTGCCTTTGTATCCTACTCAGACATGGAAGTTCTTCTAGGGGAAATAGCTCAGCATAATATTACTGGACTACAGTGGATTGGTAGTGAATCCTGGATCTCTGATATGAACATTGCTACTGGAAAATGGCAACAAATTCTTAGAGGGTCCATGGGCTTTGCCATTCCAAAAGCTGAAATAACAGGCCTAAAAGAATTTTTGATTAAACTTAACACATCTTCTGACATAGATCTGTATAAAGAGTTGTGGGAAACTATATTTCAATGTAAACTTCCCTCACAAGAAACTGCTGGAAGCAAAATCATGTGCAAAGGCAATGAAAGTTTGAACAATGTGCAGAACCAGTACACAGATGTCACAGAATTACAAATTGCCAATAATGTTTACAAGGCTGTATATGCTGTCGCTTATGCTTTGAACAGCACAATCAGTTGTTCAAAATGGGACACAAACCAAAGCAAATGCCTGGATGAAGTCAACAATACATGGCAGGTAGCATGATTTGCATAGATGTGGAAACAATCATGTCAGTTGCACTCAAAATTGCATGAATTTATTTACATGCTTTTACAGGTACTTAATGCCTTGAGGGAAGTGAGTTTCTTCACCGAAAGAGGTGAAAAGGTGTTCTTTGATAAAAATGGGGATCCGGCAGCAAGGTATGATCTCTTGAACTGGCAGCAGGGGGAGGATGGGACAACAGAGTTTGTTAAAGTGGGTTTCTATGATGCATCTTTACAACCAGGATTCCAGCTTTCATTTAACAACATCAGCATAGTGTGGGCCAAAAATCAACACCAGGTACTTTGTTTGAGAGCAGGCCTATAGATTTGAAACATATCTTACATTGCTGTAAACAAAAAGCAAGCTTTGTTGTGGTACAATTTGTCATGTTTTACAGGTACCTGTGTCTGTGTGCAGTGAGAGCTGTCCCACGGGCACTAGGAAGGCTGTGAAAAAAGGAAAACCCGTCTGCTGTTATGACTGTATTCCATGTGCAGAAGGAGAAATAAGTAATAAGACAGGTATGGTACAAGAATGCATAGCAGCAATAAGCTATAGTGTACAATCTAAAATAATTTTATGTTCACATTTCCTCCTCAGATTCAGTGATGTGTCTCAAGTGCCCTCCAGAATTTTGGTCAAACAAATGGAGAGATACATGTGTCCCAAAACTTGTGGAATTTATATCATTTGAAGATGTGATGGGAATAATTCTAGTACTGTTTTCTTTATTGGGTGTGTCTTTTACATTAGGTATTGCAGTAGTTTTCTTTGTACATAAGGACACCCCCATAGTAAAAGCCAACAACTCAGAGCTGAGCTTCCTGCTGCTCTTTTCATTGACTCTCTGTTTCCTCTGTTCACTTACTTTCATTGGTCGGCCCACTGAGTGGTCCTGTATGTTGCGTCACACAGCATTTGGGATCACTTTTGTCCTCTGTATCTCCTGTGTTCTGGGGAAAACAATAGTGGTGTTAATGGACTTCAGGGCTACACTTCCAGGAAGTAATGTCATGAAATGGTTTGGGCCCTTGCAGCAAAGACTCAGTGTCATTACTTTCACTCTATTACAGTTTCTAATTTGTGTGCTTTGGTTAACAATATCCCCTCCTTTCCCATATATGAACATGAATTATTACCAAGAGAGAATAATTCTAGAATGTAAGTTAGGATCCAATTTTGGTTTCTGGGCTGTGCTCGGTTATATTGGCCTGCTGGCTCTCTTGTGCTTCATTTTGGCTTTTCTAGCTCGAAAATTGCCTGATAACTTCAATGAAGCAAAATTCATCACATTCAGTATGCTCATATTCTGTGCTGTATGGATCACATTTATTCCAGCTTATGTCAGTTCCCCTGGAAAATTCACTGTAGCTGTGGAGATATTTGCTATTTTAGCTTCAAGTTTTGGTTTACTATTTTGCATATTTGCTCCAAAATGTTACATTATTTTACTCAGGCCAGAACAAAACACAAAGAAACACATGATGGGTAAATAATAATAATAATAATAATAAATAATAATAGTCTGTCACCTCAAATAAGCAGTTATCTAAAAGTGTTTATTCCCAAATGTATTCCTGATGTGACACAAATGTAAATTGGCAATACAATAGTCACATACTAATTAAATATGTTGAAATTGTACCACGCAACAAATAAGAATTTAAGTGAGTAATTTACTACAATTTACTGTTTATTCAACATATTGTAAATGACCCCCCCCCCCCACACACACACAGAAAAATAAACAAATAAATAAAAATATCCAAAGACTAGTCAAAGAAAATTATGCATATGAATAAAATGATGTACGGCAATTACAGTACATCCTCTGTTAAGGGTGTAAACAAGCTTTGGTCTATAAAAAGGGTGACTGTGTTGGCCACTGAGTGTATAAAGGGATCCAACCCACAATGCTGATTCTGGAGCTACTACTGCTAATGTCAGTGTTGATCAAAGCAGTACAGCCAGACTGCAGACGACAGGGCAAAGCACAGCTGCCTGAGTTCATCAAAGATGGAGCTCTAAAGATTGGCGGCATCTTCACATTTTACACAGGCTATACTGGGGTGATACCGAGTTTTACCCGATTACCTCCTCAACCAAAATGCAAGGAGTATGTATGTTTTCAGTGCAAATGTTTATCATAGTGTATTGTAATTTGTAATATTGCATAATGCATTGATATTTGTGTTTTGCTTAAAAATAAGTTGTACTTGCTTCTATGTGTTACTTTTTTCCACTCTTTCTCTAACTAAAAAAATGTGTCTCTTTAGTATCAATTATAGGGAATTTAAATTTGCATGCACTATGATCTTCGCAATAGAGGAAATAAATAAAAACCAAAATATACTCCCAAACCACACGCTGGGTTATGAAATCTTTAATGCCTGTGGATTCTCTAATATTCTGCAGTCTGCACTTTCACTGTCCAATGGACAAGATGTCGTTACTGATGAATTAAACTGCACCAAGGTCGATATTGTACAGGCTATAATAGGTCATTCAGGATCCACTCCAACTATTGGGTTTGCTAGAATAACTGGCCGATTCCGCATACCTGTGGTAAGATGTGATCCCATGATAGTATCTGCCTACTTATCAAGTTTACCATTATTATTCTGGTATATATGAGGTTATATATACCTGTTTTATTTTTATTTTTTGTTATTGCCTCTCTCTGTAAATGAAAATCATATGTATAATGTATAAATGTTCCTAAAATCTTGAATTGTTTTGTATTAGTTCATATATTACACGCTAAAAGCCGCAAAGATAAACATATTATACACACTTAAAAAAAAAAAAATGTCTCATTTACATAACCAATGATCTGTTGACATGGAGGGAAAAAAACAGAGGTGCTGAAAATAATGATTTTCACTCAAGTCTCATGCATGCTATTGTCACATTTGTATTTGTGTTCACACAGATAAGTCATTTTGCTACCTGTGCTTGCCTGAGCAACAGAAAAGAGTTTCCTTCTTTCCTCAGAACTATTCCAAGTGATTACTACCAGAGCAGAGCACTGGCCCAGCTGGTGAAACATTTTGGCTGGACATGGATGGGAGCCTTAAGCAATGACAACGATTATGGTAAAAATGGCATTGCCACATTCATTAAGGCTGCACAAGAGGAGGGAGTCTGTATTGAATACTCACAGGCTTTTGAAAGCACAGGATCAAAAACGTCATTAAAAAATATTGTAGACACTATCAGAACCTCCAAATCTAAGGTAATAATGGCTTTCATGTCACACAGAGAGATTAAGATACTGGTGGATGAGCTATACAGGCAAAATATTACAGGACTGCAGTGGATTGGAAGTGATGCCTGGATCACAGATGACTCTCTAGCAGATAGCCAAGGCCACACTTTGCTCATTGGATCTATAGGATTCACTGTCCGCAATGCTCAAATACCTGGACTAGGCCATTTTCTACAAGAAGTCAACCCCTCACAATTTCCAAAAAGTATGTTTTTCAAAGAATTCTGGGAAAACATTTTTCAATGCTCATTGAGCCCAAATGCAATGCAAAGGGCATGCAATGGCTCAGAGCACTTGAAATATGGCAAACATCCTTTCACTGATGTGTCTGATCTGAGATATGCCAATAATGTCTACAAGGCTGTGTATGCAATAGCTCATGCACTGCATAATCTATTGTCATGTAAGCAACAAAAAGGCCCATTTGCTAACGCCACCTGTGCCCAACCAACTACAATACAACCCTGGCAGGTAAAATATCTTCTAAATAGAAAATCTAAATATCTAACTTTAAATATATGTAAAAATCCAAGTAAACTGCATGATGCAAACAAAATATTATTTATTTATTTATTACTATTATTATTTTAACCGATGAAATCACCATATTATGTTATCAATTTAAAAAAATAAAAACTGTTTTGCCATTTCAGATTTTACATTATCTGCAGACTGTGAATTTCACCATGAATGGGGGAGAAACAGTCTTTTTCGATAGCAAAGGTGACTCCCCTGCAAGATATGAACTGGTAAACTTACAAAAGGTCACAAAAGGCACAATGGAAATAGCAACTATTGGCTACTATGATGCAATTCAGCCTCGTGGACAACAGTTTACTATGAACAATGTCAACATCATCTGGGGAGGAGGCCTAAGAACCGTAAGAGTCTCTTTTCAAATGAACCTTCCAATCAAAACAAAATCCCCAAGTGCACATGTGATGCAGCAATGCATCATAATGGCACAGACAAACATGTGTAAACATGTGCAAACATGTCACACAACATATTATTTTTCTATTGTTGTTCAAGTAGATTTCCCCTGGTGTGTGGCAGGTGCCTGTGTCTCTGTGCAGTGAGAGCTGTCCCCTAGGCACTAGGAAAGCAGTGCAGAAAGGAAGGCCCATCTGCTGTTTTGACTGTATCCCATGCCCTCCAGGAGAGATTAGTAACACAACAGGTAATGCTTGCTTAATTGGTCTTTTAACACTTGCAGTTCATCAAAAGAGGATCAAATGGAAAAAAATTACAATAATTTTAATCTAAATGATCATGAAACTGTCCTTAAAGCATAATTTAAAACACTTACGTAAAGGAGTAGTAAATGATAAGTTATATGATCAGTTAGTAGTATATGATCGGCTAGAAGAGGCTTAATTGAAATAACAGGCTCATTACTATTGCAATTCCATTTTCACCCACACCAGATGCATCTGACTGTGTGAAGTGCCCTTTTGGATACTGGTCCAATAGCAGAGGTGATGAGTGTATCAAAAAGACAGTGGAATTCCTGTCATTCAACGAAATAATGGGTATCATTTTGATGATGCTTGGGTTACTTGGGGCATTTCTAACTATGTTCATATTTGCAGTTTTTTTTCACTACAAAGACACACCAATAGTAAAAGTCAACAACTCAGAGCTGAGCTTCCTGCTGCTCTTCTCATTGACTCTGTGTTTCCTCTGTTCACTTACTTTCATTGGTCGACCCACTGAGTGGTCCTGTATGTTGCGTCACACAGCATTTGGGATCACTTTTGTCCTCTGTATCTCATGTGTTCTGGGCAAAACAATAGTAGTGTTAATGGCCTTCAAAGCAACACTTCCAGGAAGTTATGCTATGCGTCACACAGCGTTTGGGATCACTTTTGTCCTCTGTATCTCTTGTGTTTTGGGGAAAACTATAGTGGTGTTAATGGCTTTTAAAGCTACACTTCCAGGAAGAAATGTCATGAAGTGGTTTGGGCCTCTTCAACAGAGAATCAGTGTTGTTGGCTTTACTCTTGTACAGGTCCTCATCTGTGTGCTTTGGTTAACAATATCCCCACCTTCCTCATATATGAACATGAGCTACTACAGAGAAAAGATCATCCTAGAATGCAGATTAGGCTCAGCTGTCAGTTTCTGGGCTGTGCTCGGTTATATTGGCTTACTGGCTGTCTTGTGCTTCATTCTGGCTTTTCTAGCTCGGAAGCTGCCTGATAACTTCAATGAAGCCAAATTTATCACATTCAGCATGCTCATATTCTGTGCTGTCTGGATTGCCTTTATCCCAGCTTACCTAAACACACCTGGAAAGTTTACAGTAGCAGTGGAGATATTTGCAATTTTAGCTTCCAGTTATAGTTTACTAATCTGTATTTTCATTCCAAAATGTTATGTTATCCTGCTAAGACCAGGTGCAAACACAAAAAAAGCATTTACTAGGAAAGGTCCCACATTAACCTGATCAGATGTTATAAAAAGGATGTGGCATAAACATAACACTTTTAACTAAATTAAAATAGGTGAAGATATGAAAAATGCAAAAAAAAAAAAAAAACCCCTACCAAGGTCACATCAGACATCAAAGGGCTCAGTGAAGACCTAAACACTTTTCAGTCATCCAAGTGAATGCAACAGATATGGTCTCCCTCTAGTGGGGAAAAAAAAGGTATAGGACTACTAATGTAAGACTTGAATTTCATCATTTTCTCTCTTCCGTTTCTCACACTGTAAGTCTTTTTCATTATCAGACCTTTATGGGTGAATATAAGAATGGGTGTTTTTTTTTTTTGTTTATGATAAAGTCATGATAACTTGCGGTCAGTGATTACAGCATTGCCACTGTAAATTATTTAACTGTCAAAAGAATGTCATGCCAGCTTCTCAATTAATGAACTGTAACTCAGAAATGCTCTTACTACACTGCTTACTACACTTAACTTTACAAATAAAATATATACCTACTATAAACCTCCTGAATACCATTCCCATGGAAGACCTAAATAACACAAAAGGCCATAAAAATATGTTTCCAAACTATCATATTTTGTGTTTGGGCTAATTATATAAGGTTGCACAGCCATAACAACAAATTCAGAACTTGTGGATGGATAGCCTTGCCATATGGACCTTGGCGAGGGAACAACAAACAAAAAGCATGCACATCATCTGGCCTATAAAACAAACAAACAAAAAAAAAACATTTATAATCAATGTCTAATTAAAATGACAAAAGACATCAGG